AAGGCCAAAGAACCCATTACGTCGGAAAATATAAGCAGATATGAAAAGGATGAATAGGGACAGGAAGGAGCTGGTAAGGATTGCCCAGGACAGGGTTGGATGGAGAATGTTGGTGAGCGGCCTATGCTCCTTCACGAGGAGTGACAGGCGTAAGAAAGTAAGTAAGTAGTTGTGGTCCTTCTCCCGACAGATCCTATGCACTTTGTGTCATCGATAATTCTCCTGAGTGGCCTGATCTATTTCTCATAACTTACTCAAATTCACACTTCACACTACAAGCACTGAGGAGTTCATATTGTTTTAGTGACTGACGGTGACTTATTTTACTGTGAAGAGTGGAAATATCTGTTAACTGCTCTCAGACAACCCGGTAATGATGTTTAGGCAGAAAAGTTTATCAGGACGTTGAAAAGTGATATTAATTCCACGAATGCTATAAAACTTCATAGACTGAGGAGGAGAGTATACACATTCCTACTGCAATATAGAAATGCCAAACACTTTTCAACGGAAGACATCCCAGCAAAGTTATTAAAGGTATGTATTTTTCGTTTGAATATGATGTGTTTGAAGTCTGTAGAAGTTTTATACGCCCGAATGCCCTGGTACGGCCGAGTGAGGAGAGTCCGCTCTTCCTCTTGAAATACTCTCACACGGCCACGCGTATACAGCCTCTGCCAGGGAAGTCCTACTCACTGCCTTCTCGTGGCGGGGGTGTTGTTTACGAAAATGAGAGGACGAAAAGCGAATGTCCGGCGCTTTAACCGGATTCCAAACCAATGGTGCACATGGGCTCCAGTATCCTGCGGGAACAAATGGCGTACGAACCAATCGTTGGTCACCGGCTACCATGGGACTGCATCTCCTTACGATGCTCCACTGCCTTGTGGGTTAGACCTTTAGGTCAAAGGCTCGGGGTGTTGCCTCGTAGGATAACCACCTGCTTCGGTTTGGGCAGCCGGGCAGTATCACAGCCCACACGCAAATGATGAACTCTCTATATCTATGGAAACTACTTTTCTCGCTTCGAAAAACAATCAAATGATTCAAATTATTATCATTACTATTATTGTCATTATTATTACTATTATTATCATCACTATTATTATTATTATTTACCACATTATTCACCCTCCTTTATACTTATACAGTGGCTCGTCTTTGGTGGAAATTCGACTGTATCTAAACGTTCTCGAGTCACTTTCCGGTTGAAAATTGCATGTTACCACTGAATATGAGTACTGAAGCAGTTTTTCTGAAACCATGTGCGCCATTCAAACTGGCTGCCTTCAACGTTCGCACACTTATGCAGGTTGGACAACAGATAGGGCTGGCTGCGTCTTCGGAAAGTCTTCATATCGATGTCTGCTGTCTATCCGAGACCCGTATTTAAGAGTCTGGTGAAGTGCTACAAATTCGCTCTCCATCCGTCACTTTAAAAAGCTTGTTTTACGTGCGCTTATCCGGGGACCCTGTGGCAAATTCGTCTGGTCTTGCTGACGTTGGTGTCGCACTAAGCACTACAGCTGGGGCAGCACTAGTCGATTGGATCCCCATTAACAGTCGGTTATGTGCTGTTAGATTAGAAAGTTCCATCAAAGTGAGAAGAAATCGGCGCGAGAAACGATGTCTTTTCGTCATCTCCGCCTATGCCCCGACAGATTGCAGCCTGGATGCAATCAAGGATGAGTTTTACCACCAGTTATCTGTTCTTCTCCAGAAAGTGCGTTCGACAGATATTGTAGTACTAGCCGGAGACTTGGATGCTCAGTCGGGCGTCTAGGCACAAAAGAGAGTCGTTTAGGTGGCCGATGGGGACTCGTTGGTTGCAGGTCAGATAACGGGAACCGTCTACTGCAACTTTGCACAGACCACAACCTGTTTCTGGCTAGCACTAACTTTCGGCACAGTCATCGCCGATGTGCCACCTGGCGTCCTCCCACTGCATCCCAAGCCTGGACTGAGATTGATCACATCGCGATCAGCTACCACTGGCGTGGTTGTGTACAAGACTGCCGCTCCTTTTGGAGTACCTATCTGGACTCTGACCATGCCTTGGTCTGCGCAAATCTTGCCTTACTTTTCAGTGGACAACGAAGTGACCCCCATCAACGGATTGATATTAGCAAGCTGGTTGCAACTTCTGTTTCAAGTAAGTATCGAACCGAGCTAGCCTCTAGGCTAGCTACCATTCCACCGAAAAGTATAGGTGAACATTGGTTGCGATTGCATAACGCCATGATAATGGTGGGTATAGTCAGCTGTGGGTTCGCGAAAGGTCCCGCTTATAAGCATTGGGTTTCTTCAGGTTCCTTACAACTCATTGAAGCCCGTCGGTCTACTCCGGGTGACCGTGAGTTTGACCATAAACGAAGGATGTTACGTAAGGAAACTGGGCAAAGCTTGCGTAAGGACAGAGAAGCCTGGTGGTCGAAGCGTGCTAATGAGCAGGCTGGGTTTCGTTCTGGTCGAGAATGTATTGATCATATCTTCACCCTTCGCCAAATGTTAGAACACCGCCATATTTATCACAGGCCAACAATCGTAGTGTTTCTTGACATCAGGGCTGCCTTTGATTCGTTGGACAGGACTGTTCTCTGGGATTGTCTATTGAAGAAGGGTGTGCCTGAGAAGTTTATTAGCATCCTAAAAGCCATATATACAAACACCTCAGGCAGAGTGAGGGCACACAACCACCCCTCTCCATTGTCCCATTCAAGTAGTGGGGTTAGACAGGGTTGCCCAGTCTCACCATTCCTCTTCAACTTTGCCATCGATGACATTCTGGAAACAGCTCTGATGGATGTAAGTAATGGCGGTGTGGATCTGTTGCCTGGAGAAAGACTTCTCGACCTTGAGTATACGGATGGCATTGTCTTACTGTGCGATAATGCCCAAGCCATGCAAACCACACTTAATCAGTTGGCAATCAGTGTCCGTAGGTATGGTATGTGCTTTGCACCTTCGAAGTGCAAAGTACTTCTACAAGACTGGTGGGATTCTAATCCTGTACTCACTCTGGATGGTGAGCAGATAGAAGTAGTCGAGAAGTTCGTGTATCTGGGTAGCTGCATAAGTGCTGGTAGGAGTGTGAGTGATGAGATCAATGCACGAATAGTGAAAGCCAGAGCGGCTTATGCCAATCTGGGCCACCTTTGGGGCCTTCATGATGTTAGTCTGGCTGTGAAAAGGTGGGATCTACAATGCGTCGGTGAGAGCAGTCTCGCTCTATGCTTGTGAAACCTGGCCTCTCCGAGTTGAGGATGATAGACGACTCTCTGTGTTCGATCATCGCTGTCTCCGAAGGATTGCTGACATCCAGTGGCAACACCATGTTAGTAATGCAGAGGTTCGGCATCGTGTGTTCGGGCACAGAGATGATAATGCAATCGATGTCACCATCTTGAAACACCGACTTCGGTGGCTTGGACATGTTCTACGAATAACGTCCCAGAGAATTCCACGTTGTGCATTATTTGCCGACTCTGGTACTGGTTGGAAGAGGCGGAGAGGTGGTCAGTGTATGACATGGTGTCGTGGTATGAAAGAAAGCTGCAAAGGACTGGCTTCTGTTGGCCCTTCACGACTCCCTGGTTGGGGTTCGAGATATGGTGCTACACAGTGGCTAGAGACGTTATCAGATATGGCTCAGAATAGAAGCCAGTGGCGATCCTGCTGTATCCTTCTTTTACTTTCTTCATAAACAGTGGTTGTGTCTCCCTTACCTGAAAGATTTCTCCCGATTGTACCTTTGCGTTCCCTCATTACTACCACACTACCTTACACCAATCTCTTCGTTATTGTTCTCTTTTTTTCTACGCTCTTTACCTTTTTTTTCTTTTCGAATTCTCATTGTTTTGTGTGGCGCATATATATTGGCGCTCTCTTGTACCAATATTTATGTGTTCAAATAAATAAATAAATAAGAAGTTTTATACTGTCATGGAAATGATCTTCGACCAGCCATGGGAATTGTGGTGAAGAATGTTGGAAAATATATGCATCGAATTCTAGATATCAATGATTTAAGTACACACAGCCGACATGTTGATCAGGTACAATTACAGGGATCAGGTGAATCTGTTCCATTTTCGTTTTCCTAATTCTAATAACAATAAGTACATTCTAAGTCATACAGAGTGTACATTCGATACACAGACAGACATATGACAGATCTCAGGAGGAGAAGAACAATTGATTGCAGAAATTCGGATTAACATTTAAGCTGTGGCATTTGAGATGCCTTTATCAAATGATAATTTTTTGAACTTTATTGCGCACTGATTAAGAAGTCCAAGTACGATATGTACCTTCGTTCTCATTTAGTTCTATCTACCTTAAATCTCGATATTTCGAGAATTCTTCGTTAGCACATTAGCTCAAATACTTCTAATTATCATCATAAACCATCAAGTAAATCCATAACAACGCAATGAAATTTCTACACAACTGAGGATAGATAAAAAAAGATGCTTTCAGCTAAATTTAAGGACTTTCGTTCTTACTGAACTATTGCTTACATACGAAGATGATGTGAGAATACATGGCACTAAAACATAATTCGGCTGCTTTTAAATGATGGACTACCATCTATGATGATCTTTTTCTCTTATTTTCCTTACATTTTGATATCACAATGTCTTGATTACTAATAAATAACTTATTTATTTAATCACACCTTGAGATAATTCTCTTCTATCATCCAAATTCTTCATCACTACTTTCGACATTGCAATCAAACAACCTTCTGTTTGGTAATTTGACAGCTGCTGGTATCCAAAAACCCCTATTACTCAGAGATAAACACACTCAGATTACGAGATATGCAAACCAACAAGCAACTACCGAACTGCCAAGCATTAGTCCTATCGAGTGACTAGTATACCGCCCATTACGCGTTGTCAAACACACGAATCAGCACCTGGAGTAATGAATAGCAAATTCGAAGAAATAACTCAGTTTATGAAGGCATGTGACAAAGAAACTAAATGCTGAACTTTGAACGATCTTGAACCGGGCTATCCAAATATTCACAACTACCCTCTGGCTTCAATTGTCAGACTATCATAATCTTATGTTTTTTCATTTCTGAATGTTGTCTACCACTTTCATCAATAAACTTAAGTGCGTTTAATGTGATTTTTGAGTCCTTGATTCACTTTTCTCTTCCAGATAATTTCCACGCTCCTTCAACACGCAAGGTACCTTCAGGTTAGAATCAAACCCACCGAAGAAGGAACGTTACTGCTTGTGTAGACCCATCTAGTTAAAAATGGATTTCCAACACCGTGTAGGAGGCAAGACCGGTTCTGGTGGTGTAGCATCGGAAGCTGAAGCTAATCGCGACCGTAGGGAACGTTTGCGACAACTGGCACTTGACACGATTGATCTGAACAAAGACCCGTATTTTATGAAAAATCACTTGGGGACATACGAATGTAAACTGTGCCTTACTTTGCACAATAATGAAGGGAGCTACCTTGCACACACTCAAGGTATTTTTATTCTCTACTTTATCCCATCCTGATTTTATATCAGGTTCATATGAGTTTTGTTGTTCACGTTCTATACAGAATACCGGTTTTTTTATTGACCTTACTCTATATGAGTGATCGTATGTTCTCCGTGTTTTGCTTTCAAACCTCGTTCTCGTGAGTGGTTTAAATTGGCTTGTTGCAAGACGTCGAACGAAACTTGCAATTACTGAATCCTCGGTTTTCTTCACGAAACTCAATAAAATTTCTAGGTAGGATGCTCTAGTCCTAGCTTGTGTATGATTAACAACAAGGTTGTGTAAATTTTGTCAATCACGAACTTAGTACACAGATCTGTAGACGGTATTTCGCTAACATTGGGGCTATATCTAAGATGTTCTGACGAACGGCTAGGTTAACTGCACGTATTTGAGTTAAATGGCATGTTTTGTGTGAAAATCATATATCACAGACTAGTCAAAGTTCATGCTTTCCCACTTCCTCACTATAGAGAACATACCTAGAGATTGATATTTTGCTGTTCTCTAGATGTATACATTTTCCGAAGTACTGTAAAAATATTTAATACCACTGACCAGTTTGTTTATTTAACCACCGTTTCTATCCGCCTTTTATCGGTAATACATCTAGGTATCTAACGGTTGGTCATGTGTAACATTTACTAATTCTATGTAGGAAATATTCGTCGTATCATAGTTACCACGTTTCTTAGATCGGTATAGAGCAGCTTACTGTTTTTACAGCGTAATTCACGGTCGAATATTTTTGTATATATTGCTAAAACTGCTTCATTATCGCCCTTTAACTACAAGTGTAAGATCAAACCTACCTTGATCTAACAGTCTTGTACTCTGTGTAGTCCAACCAGTTTCTGAGTGCTTATATTATTTCTAATTTAATTCTCGAATCCTGCTTTGCCTTCGCATTAAATTGAAATTTGCTGTTATCTCCATCAGCCGTCGTTGGTGATGCTCAATAAGAGATTGTTGCTCATTCGGAAGCACATATTTAATCTCGGATCATGCCCTAGTTCGAGCACTCGTTTGTTTACGTCTTACTGGATAAATACCCATTAGAGCCCAACTTAGTGATGAAGACATTTAGGAATATATTTCAGGAACTACTAGATAAGCAGCTAGTCAACCATGAAAGTAATACACAACCCGAGTTTGCTTGGGGTGGGATCCAAAAAGCTATGGAAACAGCAGCGATATCTTCTAGTAACAAACCAAAATATTAGGGAAAATCAGTGAATTTTAGTGGTGTCTACATAACTAATATATGCTCGGAAACTCATCCCGTCCGGCTCTTAACATGAAGAGGAGCGAAGACAGCTCAAAAGTAGGCTGAATAAAGGCCTATATAGTGATTGTGATCAGTGGTAAGTATCTAAAGCAGGAGACGGAAAGTGCAGCAGCGATAGGTAACAGTAGACAACCGTTCAGACTTATCAGGGAAGCGGGTATTTAAAACACGACTGTTAGTGAAACTATCACAGAAAAAGACGGCCATTATTCACTCTCAATCCAGGAAATTAGACCTATAGGCAGAAAACTATAGGGAACCTTCAGTCACTTTAGTTACCCACTATCTCCAAGCAACCTGAGTAGCAAATTTATGTAAGTCTCTCAACTTTTAGTAAGGTTGAAAAGGCTATAGGTAATCTAATGGTCTGAGCCATGTTAGTAGATGCAAACTACTCTGTTAGGGTCCGTGTGACGATCGTAACCAATGATTAGAGACTCTGGATGACATGGCCCAGAACCGATCACCATGGCGTAGGTGTATACACTTTCTGTCTTCCCTTAAATTATGGGATTAAAATCGCTTCATATCTTTCTTCCTGTACTATGTCCTTATATTCAATCTTTCTCTTATACATTACCGCCACTGAATTAACTACTTCTATGAATCCGGTGTTCATCTTGTTGTGCTAATGAGGTATGGCAACTTGTACCGATGCACATATGTGCCTGGTCCTACGTTGTATTTGACTGACAAATAATCTAAAACAAGGGACAAAAGCAGGGCCTGATTGGCTAACCCTTGAAATGTTTGAGGGTGATGGTTCAGTTTTAGCAGTTAGATTAACTGAAATATTAGCTAAAATCTAGAAACTGGGCGTAACTCATCAGACTATTGTCGATTACTAATCGTCTGAGTTCACATGAAAGGACTAAAATCCTTTTGTAACAGTCACAGAGGGATCAGCTTAACTAATACAGGGACTAAAATATTAGCCTCATTAATAACTCGATGTCTAAGTAGGGCTTTTGAAGAGCAGACCTGAAAAATCCAGGCTGGTTTCAGACCTGGGTGTGAATGTATAGACCAAAATTTCACCCTTCGGTCGATCCTGGCACATCAAAATCCTACTATGATTGTGTTCCTTGGCCTTGAGACAGCGTTCGACTCTGTTGATCGTGAGGTTCTATGTCGGTTTCTATCGCTAAAAGGCGTCCCAAAGAAGTACATCAACCTTGTACAGGCTTTCTACCCAAACACTTTTGACGAACTGTCATCGGAATCGGTTACTTCAGATAGCGTTCGTCAAGGTTGTCTACTTTCTCCATTTCCTTTTAACTTTGTCATTGACATACTTTTAGAGATAACACTCTCACCATCTAACTTCTCGGGGGCTGATCTACCAGGAGATTCGCTGGTTGAATTAGAATACGTAGATGATATAGTTCTGTTTAGTGAAGACTGACAAAATGCAGAGTTTTCTGACCGTCTTAAGCAACAATGCAGGCATGTTTGGAATCAGGTTCTATCCCTCTGAATGTAAAATATTACTTCAGGATTGGCTGGCGTCAGTGCCTAAATCAGGGGTAGGGAATGGATCAGTTAAAAAATCGATCACTTTACTTATCTTGGGAGTCTCATCAGGCGGCTCGACTAGTTTTTGCTAACTTGCGTCACTTGTGGTGTAGGTGAGATCTCCATCTTCCAACCAGTGGACAAGTTTACTGGGCAGCAGTTCTCCCCGTTCAACTTTATGGGTGCGAAACATGACCATTAAGAATAGAAAATATTCTTAGGTTACTGGCATTCGGTCGTAGGTGTCTACAAAACATTGCTCATGTATTTTAGGACCGCGGAATAAGCAATACCTGGGTTAGGAGTAGAATGCCAGGTAACGATGGTAAATCAACTAATGAGGTGGTCGAAACATGTGTTATGTATGCCTAACCACTGCCTACCTCGACGGGTACTGTTTTCTGGTACGGAGTGAGTAGGATGAAAGCTGGGGGCGGCCAACCTAAAACATAGCATCAGTTCTTGAAGTCATTAAGAATTGATCTTAGCCATGTTAATAGTTACAAACTACCTGGTTCGGGTTCGCGTGATCATCATAATCAATGGTTAAAGACTGAATAGCATGGCTCAAAATCGTTGGCAATAGCGCAGTTTTATCTATTCTTTATATTCCCTCAAATCATGAGGTTCTAAATTCCCCATAACTTTTTTTGTTTTTATTTTACTAATTTATATTTTCTTGAGTCGTATCTTCGATGCGTAGTCTTTCCTATCACCACTGAAACTTACTACCTCTACTCTTCTGGGGCTTGGCTTGACAATTTCATTTCTCTGTGCGAATGGAGTATGACAGCTTGGACTTGGTGTACATACGTACAAAGTTCTACGTTGTAATTGACTGATTGTTGCTATCTAACTTGTTTCTTTAATTATATGATGTTTTCTTTAGGGAAAAAGCATCAGTATAATTTGCAAAGACGAGCTGTTGAGCAGGCCCGTGAGGCTCCATCTACAATGCAACCAGAGCGCGTTAAAGTAGAGCCGAAGAAATTCATTAAAATTGGTCGTCCTGGATATAAAGTAAGTTTCTGTGTATATAAAAACGTGATATATATATATATATATATATATATATATATATATATATATATGTCCGTCTGGTTGTAAAACCGATATTTACGATTTTATGGCGGATTAATATTTCCGTGATCTTTTCTTTGCGCATCTCTTACGTAACTTGACGGAAATATATGGTTTCATAGGTTCTAAATGGTGCTGTTTGTAGTTGAATAAATAGTGGTTGAAAACTTAAAGGATCTTCGTAGTAATTGTTGTTTCTCCTAACCGATTAGCATCCCAGTTAACCGAAATATGCTCCAGTCATTCTTACTTTAGGATTCGAAATATGTTTTGTTTTAAAATAATCCTATTTAAACTCGTGGTTAGTTATGTTTGGATTAAAACTTACAATTTCCAACTACGTTACCTTGTTTTTTCTACTCAGGTAACCAAACAAAAGGATCCGGATGCTAATCAACAGTCTATGCTTTTCCAAATTGATTATCCAGAAATAGCTGATGCTTCTGGTGTAATACCTCGACATCGGTTTATGTCTGCTTATGAACAACATGTTGAACCACCAGATAAACGATGGCAATACTTATTGTTCGCTGCTGAACCATATGAAACAATTGCTTTTAAAATTCCTAGTCGTGAAGTAGATAAAGACCCCAAGAAGCTGTGGACTTATTGGAATTCCAGCTCTAAACAATTCTTCCTACAGGTTAGTTTGAAGTTGTTAAACAAAGTGGGTAGCGTAATAAAAGTTTCGTTGACTGTTGGTATTCACTCCCAAAATACTTTGTTTTAATCTTGTATGAGTAGTTACAACGATGAGCAAGACCATTTTACGGCAATGCTAGCTTTCTAAAGAGGAGATTTATGATACAATTCTGATGTTTAAACCTTGATAATTAGTTAAAAGGAGGTTCAGACCAGTAGCTCATTGACTGAAAATTGATTGCCTCGAATACTACAAAGCCACTTTAGATTATACTTCTCATAAACAGTTAATCAAGAATCAGGTCATTTTATTAGTTTCCATAATAGATTTTTTTTATAGTGATGGGTGTAGGGCCCAAATTAATCCCCATCATAAAATTACGGTTCGTGTGATGCACAATACTCTCAACTTAACCATATTCTTATAAGCATCGTACAGATTATTTTACCTCTATCAACAATTTTGTTTCATGTTAATTATGTTTTGGGTAATGACCGGCAGTGGAATCCAAAACACACGTTTCGTCTTTATATTCATTGGATGGATGTACCTAAATTCCAACGGATTCGACTAATTTCGATTCGACTGCTTAAGGTATGCGTATTACAACAGATGCTGATTAATTTCAGTCCCGAATTTCAGCAACGATGTAAATAAATAAATAATGACCTGAATTCATGTTAATATCTCCAAGATCTTATGGGAATGCATAGTTTTGATGTCAGAAAGTTAAAAATGAATATGTGAGGGGAAATCTTCACTATTAAAATACTGATTTGTTTTTAGCTCGGCTGATATAGAATTAAAAATGATTGATTTCATAGTTGCACTACAGTAAAAGATTATATCTATTTTTAACTACGGACTCACTTTTCGAGATTGATTCGCAAGTGATATCAGCGTAATAAATAAGAATCACGTAAATAATCCGTTAGACCGCGTTTGTGAGCTGGTCTTAATTTTCTTAATAGAATAAAACGTTAAGATAGAATGGTTTTTTCGAATTTTCGTAACATTTTATCACTGAAATGTATATACTTGGTTGATACCTACGTTCGCCTTACTCATCATACGAAACCTTGCGGTACATCTTTATGTAAATGTTTTTCTATACCTTATATTTTTACGTTTGTGGCAATTATTCGTTCACAAAATACCGTGCTCTAATAGTTTTCAGCGAACTGAACTGTAGGGTTCAAAACTAATTCCAAATATTGAGATGTTTTGCCACGATTTTAAACAACTAAATTATTGTTATATTCTGCGATATTTTGCATTCAACATGACCAGCTGCTAATTTTGATGTGTTACCAATTTCCAACGGCAGTCTTCACTGTTATAATCGGTAAAAGCTAGGTTTTTATACTACACATGCAATGCTGAACGTTTTCGCACAAATAAATTAACTCATCCAACAAACACCCAAACTGCATTGTGATTTATCACAGATATTTATTTCTAGTGTGATTTTCAATATTGTTAGTGTTTTCACTTTTCCAAACACATCTCACTTATTGTGCAACTTTATTTTCCTAATGTAGTTCGCTTTCAAACTAGAAAGTCAATCATCTTCTACCGCTATGCTTCGTGATTTAGAAATGCAAAAAGCTAAAGCTCAACATGCCCAACTTCAGCTTCAATTACCTCCACCGCCACCGCCACCACCTCCGCCTCCACCACATGCTATTGGTCTTCCTATTCCAAGTTTCCTTCTTAATATGCCTTTAAATACCAGCATGACTAACATGCCGCCGCCCCCGCCCCCGCCACCAATTATGGTTGGAGCAAAAGATACAAGGCCCTTACTACCTCCTCCTCCTCCACCACCACCTTCATTCTCACTAGGTGCTCCGCCGCCCCCTCCACCACCGCCCTCTTTTGGAGTAAATTCTAGTGGTGTAGGGACAAATGCTTCTTCAGCACCAATCCCACCACCGCCGCCACCAACACCCCCAGCTTCCCTTCAACTGAATGGGAACTAAGCAGTTGATTATTGTACTCTGTTAATATTTATATACACGCATGAGTTATTTACCTATTTGTTCTAATTTGCTTATACTCGTCAGTTTCCGTTGACGGGTGTTGTGATCATAGAAAAAATGATGTGTATATAATCAAATAGGTGTAAAATCCACAAATCTGCCAACATTATGGATGAATGTCTCATGTATAATCTTGTTGCTAAGGTCGTACATATTTTTACACGAAAATGACGTGATATTCGGTTGGGGATAGTATTTAATCCATGTCTTGAAAATTTTGATTGACCAGAACCGAGATCGTTTGTAGCAGCACTGGAAAGTAAATTCGGATTCCCACTGAAGAATTAGTCACCATTGATCGGTGCAGGGGTCCTCGAAAACTGTTCTCTCGTTAGTCATTGCTGCACCACAGATTTCATGATCATACTGGATTTTCGTCGTCTTAGTAAGTACAGGATTCCATGAAAGACGGTTTTGTCGCATGATATCGACCTAACATTTCAGTTAATGGGATACAAAAATTTATGAATATGGTGGCACTTGATCGTTGTAGAAATTACTTGTGAATGTTTTCATCTAAATTTCTGGCATAAAAGCTTTAAGTGCATGTCTAAATAAAACAACACATGCGTAATTTTGGTGAGACATATATTTTGAGTGGTTACACCTAGTTGTACTAAACCCTCATGATTCAAGTGCAATATATATCTCACAATTCAGCTCCTCGTCATTTTCCAGTGGCACCAATAGATTCAGTCCTCAAGAATTGGCACGTCTGTGTCATCTCTTTCTCTGTATGATATAAAACGTTGACGTGGAACCTAACATAGAAGCATTCCATTCTTAGTTTTCCTTTTTATAAACAGTGGAAATGTATAAGTCAGATAGTCATAGACATCTTAGATCCTGGGATAAGTGTACATCGAAGTGGAGCTACGCTTCAAACCAGAACAGCAACAGAAGATCCAATAGATGAAAATCGATAGTCGGAATAGTAGTAGTAACGATAGGAAAACGGAAACGTAAAACAAAAGAATATGTAATGAGATAGAACGTAGCTGGTTTACACTGATTACTTCTAGCGGGACAGGGTCGAAGTGTAAACAAATACCCGAGGGAATTACACACTTTTTAGCCACTTGGAACTCTACCTACTCCCCCCTCCAAAAAATACTAAAATGGCTTCTCAGATAATCATTGGTAAGTAAACTTACGACAAGACGAATCTCATTTGTAATTCAACCTAGAAACATGTAATTAGATACCCTGAACGCTGACTGGGACAAAACTAATCCAAATCATTTTGCAACTGATACCAAAGCAAGACTTTATCTTAATTCTTTTGGGACATATTTGCAAAACTACTAACACATAAAGTTACCGATGGAGCGTCGCTGTATTGACCAAATTATGTTGTCCCCGTGTAAGTGTTCTAATTGGATAAAAAGGCGAGATCACGTTACCGATTTTGTGATATTTGTTCGATATTCAATTCCTCCGTTTAATATTTTCTTATTTTTAGCGTTAGTTTGTTCATTGTAACATTGGTTACATTTTACTATGATTTGTATTAATTCGGTATAAACTTGGTTCACTATGAAATACAGCATGCATTTTCGTAGTAACTCTGTATCCCCTCTACACGTGGTTGATGTGAACAGAAACAAAGAATCCATAACAAACAACGGCAGTTATTTTTGGGACGTTATTTTGCTTGATTCAAAGTTCTTAAAATACTAACATTTGGTTTTATCCCTAGGTTATTCTATCGACCATAATCTTTCGCTTGATGTGTGATTGACTGCCACACCCTTTTCTTTGCCAAAAGCCTTGTTGTTTAAACGTAACCTTTTGTACTCTATTTTTTCTGTTCTAATGCCCAGTTTGGACATAATTGTATTTTTCCAATTGTTTGTACGTTGTGGTCGGTTTAATCGTCTCTACCCATGTATCTTTTTCCACTAATCTTAATCAAGAACAAATCGGGTAATGTTCCAGTCTTCGTCTTTCTTCCCATGGTCATTAGTCGCGATTCGGACTCACGCGTTTCTAGCCTCATGGTTAAACCAGTTAGCTCGCCGTGTCAGAACCTCAACCTAGAGTGAGACAAGTTCTCTCCTGTATATTATTGGGTAGACAGATCAAGTACGTAACAAAGATATATGTTGACTAGTCATCAAATAGCAGTAAAATTAATGAGTGTATTTTAATTAAAAAAATTAAAGCGGTTTCGAGGGCAAAACAAATCTACAATCAATTTTGGTCTTATTATTTGCGTAGTGTAAATCATTAGCTCATTGTTCAAAGTAATCAGCTATTCAAAATCGAGGCAGTTTTCCCGTCATAAGTATTCACGGTTTCATCAGTAAACATCTAAGCCTGATCTGTTTTCTTCATTTGCAAATGTATATGCTCCCGTAAGAAGTGTTACGAGTAGAGTTACACCAGCCCTAATGCCACATCATCGTACACTATTCAGTGTAGTTATCTATGTAAAACTCAGTATCATATCATTTAATGAGCAAGGACTCTGAGACAGGCTCTCCTTCCTACATTCTATGCCAGAATCTAATGTTGTTTTTACATGCGTACTCCTAGTTACTGTAAGGATTTTCATCCGAAATTTTTGGCTGTCCTGGTTTATTTATTCAGTATTTTTTATATCTTTTGTCCACTAATTACAGCGTTGACGATCTCCCAATGCCATACGAGTTTGACATAACGATTGTATTCATAAATACATTACTACTACCTTCAGTTTACTAACAATTCCCCTTTGCTACTTAAATTCTACGGGCTTACGTCCGTCCTGTAAAGCATTCCACACACGCAAACCTAAGATATCCACACGTGAGCTATAATAATTCTGAATTTATACGTGACTTTTTTACTTGGTCAAAGTGCAGTGATGTTGAGAAATTGTCAAGCAAGTTTGTAAGCTCGCTGACTTGCCTTCAAACAACAACTATACTGTCCAATAATTCATCCTGCCTCATGCTTGTCACGTAATCCTCGAACCCGGTAAGTTGAGAGACCAGTTCCAATTACCCCTACAAACCATATTGTGGACAACTGATAAGTGGTTAATAGCATACTGTTCACCCTGAACCGACTGACAACAGATGTAACACCAGTAAGATTTAATATCATTCCTCCTGAACTGGTCTGTATACTAGGTCTAAATAACTAACCGCTGTCGCATTTATTACTTATCAATGCACTTGGTTAATATATACCCCAGCCTCTTTCGGTCTTTGTTATTTTATGCATGCTTTTGAAAAAAGCTACTGATGTCCGCATGATTCTGTTATTTTTTCGTAGCGGTGTGCCTCAACGCAGTCAACATAGGTGTCAAGACAATACAACCGTCAACGCCGAACTAAACATGTACGCGCTGAATAATACCGTGAGACAAATACCAAGGTTACAGTACCTCGGCGTCTTCACCAAGTCATCCGATCAGGTGAAAATCGATTGTCGAGAAAGAGTGATGAAATATTGACACCACCAGACAGTAAATTCCAGAAACCATGGTACAGTGTCGGAGCGTCCCGACCCCGACGTTTCTAGCGCGCTTTGTCAATAGCATTATGTTAAAGGAAATGAAACATTGTTGACAATCCCATACTGTCAAAAACCTATACCACTTGTTCCACAACTGTTTGTTTACCGTTAATTTTGTCAGTTGAATTATTTAAGTGCTATTTGAATAGTAACAATTTATTCACCTGTGTTATTACTACTATCATTGACAGTCAAGGGATATACCCCCCTCTCCAGGTTATATGTTAGTTAGCTCATAAATATATGTGCATGCTCGAATCTTGTCAATTGGTTTGAATCCAAATTATTTTAAAGCCAAGCCACTATAAACCCGTAAGTGCTCAGGAACTTCAAGGTCTGTGACTAATTTTAGTCCGTCCACTTTCAGAGCAAGAGGGAAATTGATAGTAGTATTGAAGTTAGAATTTAAGCGATAGTTTCTGGTAGTCCTTAAAAGACAGAATCAATGACGAAATAATTCTCTGTATTTTATATTTATAGCAAAGCGGACACTATTAATAACATTAAATTGTTTATACGTAGAACTTTACAAAAGCTTTCAAGATTTATTAACTTATCTGTAACAAATAAAGGACCGGGTATATAATCACACGTTACGTGAGCACAACAAAAGGACGTGAAATTGATAATTAACCATGTTTTTCACAGCAAATATAAACAGGAAAATACGAAATAAACCACCAAAATGTTTAATACAAGGCTGAAGTGCTTATAATTACTAAAAGAAAGCATCACAGATTGTTGTATAAATTATGGCCTAAAAAAGGGCAAACAGAAATAAAGATTTCTAGCAAAGCAAACTCAGATTCGTCAAGAGAAATTTCAAGTCGAACTGTAGTTAAATAGTAATTCACCAAAAGAAAATAGATAAGCTGTACATAGATATAAATATATCATTTTTATAGGTACGGAAATACATTAAGACAAAGTTTGCCGAAGTAAATCAAGAGAAATGAAATTTCGAAAACAACTAAAGATCGTTCAAGAATAGCTATTATATGTATGTAGTGTGTGAAAGTCTTTGCAAGTTTCAAAAGAATTTCTGAACAAATAGACTTGATATTCAACAACCACACGTTTTCCACTGGTTCTCTTGAGGAGGCTCGATCGGTTTCAGTTCAATATCTGCAGGGAAGTTTTGATAAATAAAACCAGTTACAAATTTTTGAATGAAACGAGAGAAGAATGGGCAATGCAGTATATCATTGGTGTATATTATGGGGTTATTAAAGTTAAGGATGAATAGGCCTAAATATACGCATATATCCATAGATGTTAGAAATGAAAAATACAATCCAATGATCAAATAATTTTGGGCGGTTGATTCTTAAATGTTAATATGAGAACTTGCTGTCAAAAATTATGCTACTACAAAAACAAGGTAACCATATCATGTATAAAACATTTGCTGCTATTTAAAATCAGCGACCATTGTAGATGAGAAGACCAAGTGTTGTTTAGGCTTAAAATAAATCCAACAAGTTAAAATTTGAAGCGTGAGAATCACTTACCTATATTTGGGCTAGTGTTACCACCAACTTGACATTAAAAATGATAAACACAAATTTATTGCATCTCTTTTCTACTACAGACACACCGAATAAAGTTCAAATATCATCAGCACAAAAAAATTGACAATACAGCAACCTACTACACAAAATTATCATTTTCAAAACAGAAAATTCATTAAGAGGAAAAATCAAAAGTGAAACCACCGAGAAATGTATCCAAAACTACATGTGCATTAAATTAGTAGCGCAAATGTGCTAAAAGGTGTGTAAACAAGTTTATAAAAAAACAAATGCTTACAATTAAGTGACTTAGCACCAGCAAACTCGTTGGTTAAAATCAGTATCCTTAGAGGCATCGTGTAACTTAACCTCGATGACTAGATTTATTAAACAAAAACACGACACAAAAAATACAATTCGCAAACATCGATTTCCGAAATGGAAATTATCTAAATCAAGGAGAAAAGCAGTATTGGTAAATTTAACATTTTTGTATTTTAATCATTTTGAATAAAACTGGTCGAGTCAGAGCTTATGGAAAATTGTCACTAGAGCTAACATTATCACGTAGTGTTTATCAGGGTTATGAAACGTCTGGGATGATCTAAGTTATCGTTCCAAATCAGATATATAATTATTATACCTGTTAGTCATTTTACAACTCGTTCAATCATAAGATACTGTCATGGACTGAATAATGGTAACGAATTGTTTTGGCCTTGACCAGAGAGCAGTATTGAATACTTACAATAACCAAGACCGTTAAATCAGTTTAGGAAAGTTTTGTAGACATAAAATAGTTCAATGACCCCAGACATTTAGCAAACTAATGAAGTAGGTGGGACAGTTTTTGAGCTTGAGACCTACCAGCCAAGTGTTTTAATCAATAAGTCACCATATAACTAACCAGCATACATGCTTTAGGTGTCTAAAATAAATACGAAATTTCTTTGTAGTGCTGACTAAATGAACAAAAAAAGATAAAACAATGGCTGTGTAGATAAGATCGGAAAGGATACAGTCATCATGTCTAGAAAGTGGACTCTTTTGATCAACCAATTCTGTTGCGATTCGACGGAACAGCTGAAAAAAAATATACAAAATGAAAATATAATTACTGGCTTATCACAGATATTTGACATCATTACCGTCAAGCCACTAATAAAAAGCTGGAACACGGTTTAGAAATGAAAATAAACTTCGACTAATTGGTTAAAATGTGCCCTTAAATGCCCTGGTACGGCCGGGGGTGGGGAGAGTCACCTCCCTCTTGAAATGCTCTCACATGGTCATGCGTATACTGCAAGGAAAGTCCCAGTCACTGCCTACTTACGGTGAGTGTCGTTTACGAAATTGAGAGGACGAAAAATGAATGTCCGGGGATTAAACGGGTTGGTGGACATGGAAAGTCCACTTAGGGGAGTTGAAAAACCCTGATTCCAAACCAATGGTGTACATGGGCTCCAGGACCCTAAGGAAATAAATGGCGTATGAACCAATTATTGGTTACCGGTTACTATGAGACTCCATCTCCTGACGTTGCTCCACTGCCTTGTGGATTAGACCTCTAGGTTAAAGGCTCGGGATGTGACCCCCTAAGAAAACCACCTGCTTCGGTTTGGGCACCCGGGTAGTACCACAACCCAAATACAGATCAAATGCGGTGCATATGTATTTGGTGCCCCTTTGTACTAATATTTGTGTTCAAATAATAATAATCAATCATTAACATTTTACTAAAGTGAAAGAAGAGAACTGGTGATGGATGCAACTGAAAAACACCAAAGGTGAAGTAGATAAGAGTAATTCGAGACATAAATCATATAGACCACATACAAATTTCTGATATTTTTAGGATGCTAAACAGTTCACGTTTCCTTGAACACTTTATATGTATCTATCATTTATGCACAACATAACTTACTTGTACAATAAGTTTATTATTATAAATTAATTTGAGTTAATTAAACATTAGGATAGGAAGCAACTGTACATTAACAGCTCACTCGCAAAAACGGTTCAGCAAATAGTTTTATGGTAATCCATATCGAAAATTTGAAGCCTTATCATGAATTTGTCTATCTGCTAATTACGTACACCGCAAAGTAGCATTTGAGTTATATCAAAATAAACCTAACCGAATTCTGCTTCACAATAATCCACAAGTCAAAAAATGATGTGTAGCACCACTAAGTTTTATCACGTTTTAGAAAACAACTTTGAGTGATATTATAGTCAACAAAATTTTGTTCTGGGTTGAAACCAATATTTTTGTGATAACTGGGGACGAGCAGTGTTAATTGTATCATATCCACATGTATCGTTAAGTGGACCAAAGCAGAACTATGCGATATATTTTCAAACGTTCACCAAACATACAAACCACCGAAATAACTGGGAACCTAATATAGTGCAGTAATCAGACGAAATGTCAGTGGGCATTAGAATACATGGAGGGAAGATGTCTAGCGTTCAAGGAAAGAGAGCGAGTGTAACTACAGGGGAGGACTATCGCTTAACGAACCGACTAACTTTTTCGTATAGAGCACAACCTAATTCTACAGCTAGTTTTTTCAGTCTCAATGTATGAAAACAGCATAAACGAACGTTACTAAATCGCACAGGCGGTGCTTCCACAACTGCTTACAGAGAACGCGGCAAACATAGCGTCACGATGTCTGATAACAAGAGCATATACTTAAGCGCTGAAGAAAATGTGATCAGGAAATTTTATTCCTACACTAGCTAAAAGCGTGTTTGTTTGGGATGAGACAGTGCCAGCTGTATGGTTAGTCGAGATTAGATCACGATGTTTGGAATCATATTTGTAAAATCTAGTCCTAGAAAACCAAACTGGGTGAATATCTCTGGAAAACTTGTGTAGTGGTGATAGATGTACCCAATAACGAGGAAGACTGCGCAACAAAATTCACTACGTCACACTTTATAAGTCTTCAAAAACCCGAATACTAGAACAAGATAATAAATCCTCTAAATAAAACGCCATAAACGCTCAGACACTTTGAGACTTGAAATCGACGGAAATCAGATTTACTTTACAGATTAAAGCAGCTGAGATATTGAGTCATCTTTAGACAAAGGGGAACAGAAGTTTAAAGTGAAGACTAAGATATTACCTATACATATGACAATCAAGCAAACCTAACCAAAATTGTATTATTTCACTACTCACAACTTTGACATTATATCCAGCCTTCGCACTCGTTTCAATAAACATGACTTCTAGTTTTTTAGCAAGATGCTCGCCCTCTTCAGTAGTCACTTTTCTGCAACATAAGGACCCAGGATATTTTTACCCACCGTTTATCAGATAGATCCGTTTTGTTTCCAACGAGGATAATAATAACATCCCCGCCACGTTCGTTTCTGACGTCATCAACCCACTTTGAAGCCTGATGGAAAGATCCAGCATCTACAAGATAAACAATGCAAGTAAAACATACTGCATATGTCATAAACAACAACTGCGGCTGAGGAGTCACGTATGTAGCTGGGAATCAAACTTCGAAAACGTTCCTGTCCCGCAGTGTCCCATAATTGCAGACGAATCTGTTGGGTTCGTTTACATTCTTAAACTTACAGTTCGATCCTCAAGGTACATAGTTTTTGATAAAAAGTCAATACCAATTGTTGCCTGAAAGGTGAGAATATTATAGTACTATTTGTTATTGTACCTGATACAGATTGTCAAAAGTTTCATACATAAACCTAGTTATGAGGGACGTCTTCCCGACTTAAATTGGAATGTATTTTGGCAATTTTATAAGAATTTACCACTCTGTTCTCCCAAAAACACCAGCTTGAACTTTTGCAAAGGATTGTTAAAGTCGGCCATCGCTCAGTACCAAAGGACTAGCCACGCAAATTACCGCCACAAGCTAATTTGAGTGAGTAAACAAAAGCAGGTTCCAAATCTTCATATTTATTTCATCTTCAGATGAGTGCCTAAATTTTACGGCGCGGTTCCAGGTATCTCATTTCGTAATATAAGTAATCTAGTCATGCAATCTCAATAGTCCTAACGAACCTGTCATTTGTAGATGCGTTACAAGTAACCCCCTAGTTGTTTCCGTGAATTTTAGGTGTTGTTGTGGTATCTTAATGTCGCTGGGATAAATCAATTGCCTTAAGTTTTTCAATAAAACTTTTCCTACTATCAAAAAGCCTGTTGAAACCCTTCATAAAAAATGTTGGAATGATAGTAATATAATGGAGATGATTTCTTGATGAATAACATTTTGAATCTAGTTTTCGTGTAAAAATTCATTATTATGAAGTCATTTTACAGGTTGAGGTCCAACTGAATCACTTCTATTAACCAGATTTATTATTAATTTGCAAAATGGAACACGCCTTCACCAAGATTCTTATACTCAGGGTAGTGACGGAATTTACGGATAACATAGGGTCGCAGATGAAAATGACTGCGTTTTCGCCGTCTAAATTGCCAATAAAAGTTTCCATGTTTTGAGGTCAATACGTTCACATTTACACAGAGTCGTAAATAAGTGATGTTTGGCTCCATTAATATGGAAAGCTTTCAGTTATATGAATTATAGATTCAGCGTGGTTCTAAATTGCTCAAAGTACCCAGAATTTGTGTTCTTCGGTAAGCATACTGACAGCAAAGACACACCTAGCATCAGGTTCACAAGCTGAAACCCGTGATGGCTATGCAGAGGTAAATGAATTCCTAAAATAAACACTTCTGTATGTCTTCAATGTCGGTGCTGACCTCATTAATTTTACTGGACGCAACCTAGCTGAATGCTCTTGGTTGCACGTCCGCACAAGAGCACCAGTGAGGTGAGCCGTGCCACACATCCGTTGCATCTGCTTGCCAGCTTTCCAAATATAACTTAGAACCGTTTCACTCCCGACTACTAATTTGACTAGGTTGGTATTCGTCAATTACGGCGCTGAGAACAAAAGCGTCGTCAAACCCTGAGTATCTAGGGCATCTCTATGTCCATTCCCATTATAGTCAGATCTTAGCCTGCTATAGTGATGACACAGAGTAATGACCTCCTAAACCTTAAATCTGGCGTCAACTTCTGTCGAGACCTAAGGGTTTCGATTCCGTTGACTTTTTGAAATGTAAGTGAGCAAGTAGTTCAACCCAGTTCGGCTTTGATCTGAAGAATAATACCTAGTTCAGCAACGGCATTCACAAAAATACTGAAACCTAAATTTCTGTCTTCAACATGAAAAGTTGACTGTCTAGACTTCTCCTCACGTCGATACGACGTTAAGGGAGTCTTTTGTCTCTCATGTTAGTTGTAGTCCGTGTGGGCCAGGTACGTGGTTAATTGTACCCAGTTGACTTGACACTGAATCACCAGTGGTTTCAGCATAGCTGTTCGGATTTTCTGAACGTTTGTTTTCTGCCTTCTGGTCTGAAACTCGGTCGTTTTGGTGACTCAGTTTTGTTTCTATGATCTATTTGCGTTTTCGCAATAGTCTCTTTGAGACGTTACTTTCAATGAGTTTTGATGATAGTCTTTTGATGACTTCTTTTCAGGTGTGATTTATCGTAAGTGATTTTGCCGGAGGACTCCCCTCTATTATTTCTCCTGCAACGCATGGTCACTGAGGCAAAGATGAGTTCGTTTCTTGGGCATCCAAACAATATTAGACGTAGTATAAGAGATCATGTATCAATCGTTGATTTAGGACTGCTTTAATCGCGGTGTTGCCGCCAGCTAAGACTTGGAGTTGACAAAATAACCACGAGAGTAACCTATCGCCCAGTGTCTCCTCTTAAAAAACCTGTAAATTCTCTTACCGTCCGACAATGACAGTTCGTTGTCTCACAGTTTAAGACAATAATAATAGTAATTTATGCATAAATGACTATCTGTTGCATGAGGCATGCCAGTTTGCAGGCAAGATCAAATCGATACAGAAGGTACAGTCTTCGGTGTAGTAGGTTACTCAGTTAGGTTGATATTTTATAAGGTACACTGATCATAAAATTATGGGGGATAACACTTCTGACATATCAATGTAAATAATATTATTAATACTCGTATTGTCAATATGACAGTTTGCGAGCTTTACAGAGGTTGCGTTGCAACTGATGGTCAAGAATAAGTTCACATAAAGTTGAGAGCTTCTGGAAACTACGACCTTGTATTCCTCTGGAACGTCTGAGGCATTTTCGATGGACGAGGTCGCCCGTTCCATGTGTTTTCGGTGACATATCTCAAAGGGGCTGAAAAAATGGTGGGAAAAAGAAAGGACGAGAAGTAAAACAGATAATGCTAATGTATACTGAAGTTGAGTCATTTGTGGTGGAATAATTAAGGTATGACTATTTAGTTTAATTCTCTTTTATTAAGATGCTTTTTAAGCAAGAGCATTCTAATAGGTAGAAGAAAATAAGCGTAAATAAGCTATGAGTGTAAAAAGAACTGTATAAATTGAGGTGGTTTAAAAAGAAGCTGAAAGCATAGGATTATGTGTGGTTTCCAAATATAGTACTGAAAACAGTATTCTGACACTTTTTTGTCGAAAGTATTTCAGCTCATTTTTACTTGTATTGATTTTGTAGGTACATGAGCAGTCTTCTTTTTTTAGCAAATTATCTAGTTTTGCTTGTAATAGGATTACTAAGTAGGATGTGAAACCAATTCAACGTTAAAAACACGACTCAAAGAGGTATTTTTCATAATAAATTAGCATCAGTACCATTTATCCGTGACATCCCGCTTGATCATAAGGAGCCGTAATTTGACAACATTTTCACGCCTACAGACATGGGTGGACCGAAGTTATCTCCCCACCATCATTTTCGCTGGTCAGTAACATCACCTCCTATCCTTTTGTGATGTTAGGCTCTCTTACGTTTGTGGTAAATATGAATATTGCTTTAATTTATGCTCCTTGTTGGAATGTACCGTCTCTACTAGTTCCATGTTGCAAGCAAATCAGATGGTTAAAGCTTCTGTACTGTGGGTTAGATATCCATTTTATATATCACAACGCTATGAAGATAAGTAATGGTATAAGTTATAGGACAGTGATCAGATTATATGGGATTTAGAGATGGTAAGGATATATGACGAATCAAAGAATATGCAAGAGTTTGGAATTGTAAACGTTTCGGAGTAAGAAAACAAAACAATGAGCAGCTCACAAGAATTTAGGATGAGTTTCTTACAAATGGCTATAGCTGATCAGCATTCATGTGATTAGTGTGTTATCTATCTACTTCTAATGGGAAAAGGGATTTGACACTTTGGAAGAATAACCATTAGAGTGATTCGGAGTCTGAATCTGAAGAGTAGGAGCATACGTGCAAGACTAATGGTCAATGAATAATAGGAGAGGGTAAACCATGTGTTCTATCGTTTTATTACATTCATATTATTGACAACTTGGTCCGTTAGATTCATGGTCGGCTTAGATATTAGGCGGTCCCCAATAAAGTGCCTCATTTGTGGGCAGAAAATTAGCGAATAGTTCATAAAACTTTTTAGCGTCAAGTAACACTGTTATTAGGTTTTCGAACTTGGTGATAGTGTCACGGTTACGGATAGGTATTGGCAACCTACTCCATAAAAAACTATACCGCACTGTAAAAAAATTACAACGCATTTGTTTCCGGTGTTCAACAATAAGCAGTGTATATGCGTTGTGTTCTGAGTCTGTGGACTAGGTCATGGGTCACGACTGGGCAGGAGGTTAGCAGTGGAAGTCCGCATATTAAATTGTAGAGAAATATAAGATTTTTCCATAGCTGACGGCGCCATAAGGGTTCTAAGTAGAGGTGCTTACATCTATCTATGCAGTTGAGAGTGGAATCATATCATAGCAATCGGTGTGTGAAGCGACTTTGGAGATCTTGTAGGCTTGTCTTGTCTGTGGTATTCATGTTTGAGAAGATAAAAGTGATATTTACTGGAGCGTCGTATACATCTTTTGTAAAGGGCAAGCTTAGTCTCTGTTGTAGGGAAATTTTTCATTATGGAACCAACTATCCGTCTAGATTTAGAAACAATAAAGGAGGCATGTTCTTCAAATTTTAGGCTTTCTGTGTAATTAATACCTTGATCGTGCACTGATTCGAGTGTTTGAACTCTACTTTTATTTAAGTAAAGTTGTTATTCATAGAGATGTTTTCTAAAATACATGATCCCACAGTTGTTGAGGCTAAATGGTAATTGCCATTTTTTGCTCCATATAGTTAGGTTATTGAGGTGACTGGGATACATTTTCACTTATAACCTCAGAATTAAAGCTGTGTGCTATTTTGAGATCGTCAACGTATAAGCATGGTCTCTCAAATTTTATATTGTTTATATATATAAGAAACAAGAGCAAACCTAATACACTTCCCCGGATGACTCCACTAGTTATTGGTCTAGGTGATGAGAGAGAGTCATTGTACTTTACCATTTGTTTACTTTCTGTTAAGAATGAAGCAAACCATGAGTATAGTGGGTTGTTGATTCCAAAGGACCTTAGTTTGACGAGAAGCCTTTTATGTGGGACCTTATCAAAAGCTTTCTTAAAGTCTAGGAATAAAACCGATACAAAGAGCCCGCTGTCTCGTTTCAGAGTTATGTCATTCAGGTAGTCTACTAGGCATGTATCGCATGATCTGAACCTAAGAAACCCATGTTGGGAGGTCGAGATGAGATTATTAGTAAGTAGACTTTGAACAACCATCTCCTTAGCTACTTTTCCCATCACTCTAGATACCACTGAGGTTATGTTTATGGGCCGGTAATCTTCAAAATTTGTTTCTGGTTCTATCTTAATTTTGGGGATGATATGTATAGTTTTTCAGGTAGTAGGGTAACACGCTGTGGGGAGTGATATCGCAAATAGTTTGAGAAGTAAAACACACATGTCATCATCACCATTTTTAGAATGCTGGTCGGAATACCATCTGGTCCATCAGTGTATTAGTATTTCAATGTACTAATTGCCTTAGAAATATTCAGTAATATCTCCATATCCGGTATTATCCATTCTGACTTCGGCGTTCAGACCTCCTATCAAGTCTGTTCTA